TGAGAGGCCTCGTTTTTCTAATGCTAACTACAGGGGCATGGCACAGAGGAGGGCCCCAGCGCCAAGGCTGAGCCCCTTCCCCACCATTAGCTGTGCCATGAACTTCCCTGCTTGCCATGGCCCCATTGCAGCCTTCCCAGAAGGCTTCTGTTCTCTCCAGGCATGTCTGAAAACGTCCTTACAGCAGGTGTGGGCAAGGCTGGTTTTGGTCCGCCTAGCCACTTTTTGCTTCTGGTCTCTTCAACTCCATATGTGTCCATGGGGTCTCACCAGGCAATCATTATTGTACCCAGCCCCTGGGTATCATGGCTGGGCCCATCAGAGGACTGCATCCCTCTGTTCGGGTCAGGGATGGGCACGTGACCCAAATTCCCTGGAACTTAGAGGCTAGTGTGTAAAGATAGTCCTCCTCTTTAAAAGAAAAAAAAAAAGGGCCGCCTGGGTGGCTAAGTCATTAAGCCTCTGCCTTCGGCTCAGGTCATGATCCCAGAGTCCTGGGATTGAGCCACACATAGGGCTCCCTGCTTGGGGGGAAGCCTGCTTCTCCCTCTCCCACTCCCCCTGCTTGTGTTCCCTCCCTCGCCGCATCTCTCTCTGTCAAATAAATAAATAAAATCTTTAAAAAAAAAGAAAAGAAAAGAAAAAAAAATTTATTCTGTCCTATAGGGATATACACCTAAGCTGCTAGCAACCAATGTTCTTACCTGATGGAGTGTTCCTGGCTGCAGATGAACCACAGAACAAATCACAATGATAATAATAATAATAGTCAGATACTTACATAGTATTGACTCTGGCAAGCACTGTTCTAAACACATGACATATATTACCTCCCTGAATCCCCACAACTTTCCTCTGATATCAGTACTCTTATCACAGATGAAGAAACTGAGGCATAGGAAGGTTAAGTAACCTGCCCAAGGTCATAGAACAAGTGAGATTCAAATCCAGGCAATCTGGCTCCAGAGTCTTCACTCTTAAGGGCTAACATAGACTGAGCAAAGGAAAGAGGAAGAGATGTCATCTGTTAAGGCCCTGGATCTAGCCATGCCTGAAGCTACTCCTGGATTTCCCAGCATCACAAACTAATTCATTCCCTTTGTTTGCTTAAGCTACTGTGTTTTGTTGTCTGTCTCTTGCAACCAAAGGAGTCCTGCTTCATACATCCCTCCAATACATTCTGCCTGGGTAGAAGACAGGCAAGAAGCATCTCAAAGAATTTTCTCTAGTATATTTAACAGGGTTCTGACTATGAACATAAAATCGTTCTTCTGCTTCTATTGTCAATCTTATTTCACAGACTATGAAACTGAGGTTGGAAGAGGTTGAGTCACTCTTCCAAGACTACATAGCTAATAAGTGACAGGTGTGCCTGAGTCCCCCTCAGGTCTGCCTGACCCACTGTCCATGACCCTGACTACCTCTATTCAAATCCATAGTGTCATTATACTGATTTGTTTTTTTAAAGATTGATTGATTGATTTTAGAGAGCAGAGAGTGCGAGCGGGGAGAGGGAGTGGCAGAGGGAGAGGAAGAGAGAATCTCAAGCAGGCTCACCCTGAGCGTGGAGCCCTCTGTGGGGCTTGATCTCAGGACCCTGAGATCATGACCTGAGCTCAAATCAAGAGTTGGATGCTTAATTGACTGAGCCACCCAGGTGCCCCATCATTATGCTGATTTGTAATGCATAGCCCAACTACTTCCAAAATTCACATCAAGGGTCAGAGTAGAAATGCAGATGCCAGGACAGTTAAAATTGGTGTTTTGCGTTTTTTAAAAAGTAATCTCTATCCCCAATGTGGGGCTTGAACTGATGACCACGAGATCAAGAGTCACACACTCTACTGACTGAGCCAGCCAGGCACCCCTAAATTTGGTGTTTTTTTAACAGCAATTTTATTCATATATAATTCCCATGTTATACAATTCAAACATTAAAATGTACAACTCACAGAGTTATGCAAGCATCACCAAAATCAACTTCAGAACATTTTATCACCCCAAAGAAACCCTGTACCCTTTAGCAGTCACTTTGCATGTCCTATAAATTTGCCAGTTCTAGACATTTCATATCAGTAGAATCATACAATATATGAAATCCGTGTCTGGCTCCTTTCACTCAGAATAATGTTTTCAAGGTTCATCCATGTCGTAGTATGGATCAGTACTTTGTTTCTTTTTATTGCCAACACTGCAAATTCTATGGATATATTGCATTTTATTTACCCGGTCATCAGTTGATGGATATTTGGTGGGGTTTTTTGTCTGTTTGTTTTACTTTTTGGCTATTCTAAATAATTGTGTGTACATGTTTTCCTGTTTTCATTTCTTTGGCATATACCAGGAATTGCTGGGCAGTATGGTAACTCTATGTGTAACCTTTTGAAAAGCTTTCAGACTATTCTCCAAAGTGGCTATATATACCATTTTACATTCTCACCAACAATGTATGAGGGTTCAAATTTCTCCACATCCTCGCCAACACTTTTTATTATCCATCTTTTTTCTTATAGCCATCCTAAGTGGTGTATCTCACCATGGTTTTGATTTGCATTTCTCTCATGGTTAATGATGTTGAGCATCTATTCATGTCCTTATTGGCCATTTATATATGTATATTGGAGAAACATCTATTCAGATCCTTTGCCCAATTGTTAATTATGTTGTCTTTTTACGATTGAGTTGTAAGAGATATTTATACATTCTATAAAGTCCCTTATCAAATATATGATTTGCAAATATTTTCTCCCATTCTGTGAGTTGTCTTTTCACTTTTTGATGGTGTTCGCTGAAGAATGAAAGGTCTTAATTTTTATGGAATCCAATTTATCATTGTTTCTTTGATCGCTTGTGCTTTTGACATCATATGTAAGAAATCTTTGCCTGATCCAAGGTCATGAAGATTTATTCCTGTGTTTTCTTCTAAGAGTTTTATAGTTTTAGTTCTTACATTTAGGTCTTTAATCCATTTTGAATTAATTGTGTAAAAAGTTAGGGTGTCCAGCTTCATTCTTTTGTATATGGACATTCAGTTATCCCAGCAGCATTTGTCAAAAAGACTAGTCTTTCTCTGTTCAATTGTTTTTGACACACTTGTCAAAAATCAACTGACTGTATTTCTGGACTCTCAATCATATTCCATTGATCTATATGTCTTATCACAATATCATGATTATTGTTGCCTTGTAATAAGTTTTTAGTATAAGATGTGTGAGTCTTTAATTTTTTTTTTTTTTTTGAAGATTGGACTATTCTGGATCCTTTGCATTTCCATGTGAATTTTAGGATCAGCTTATCAATTTCTGCAAAGAAGCCAACTGGGATTTTAATAGGATTGCATTGTGTCTGTAGATCATGGGGGAGTATTACCATTTTAACAATATTAAGTTTCTGATCCATGAACATGGGCTGTCTTTCCATTTATTTAGGTCTTCTTTTGTCTCTTTCAACAATATTTTATAGTTTCCAGAGTATAGGTTTTGCATTTCTTTTGTTAAAAGTATTCTTTCTAAGTATTTTTTTCTTTTTAATGCTATTGTAAAATGGAATTTTCTTAATTTTATTTTCAGATTGTTCATTGTTGGTATATAGAAATACAGTTGGTTTTTAATATTGTTCTTTTATCCTGCAGTCTTGCTGAACTTAGCTGTAATAGCTTTTTAGTGGCTGCCTTAGAATTTTCTATAAGTAAGATCATGCCAGCTGCAAATAAAGAGAATTATACTTATTTATTTCCAATTTGGGTGCCTTTTATCTCATTTTTTTGCCTAATTATCCTAGCTAGAAATTCTAGTACAATGTTGAATAAAAGTGGTAAAAACAGACATCTTTGTCTTGCTCCTGATCTAAGAGGGAAAGTAGTCTTTCACCAGGTAGTATGATGTGGGTTTTTCATAGATGCCTTTCATCAGTTTGAGGAGGTTCTCTTCTATTCCTAGTTTGTTGAGTGTTTTTATATCACAAAGGTGAAAATTAGTTTTAAAAAGAGACCTCGAGACTTTCAGATAAAGACAGAACGTTGAACACACATATCATTTTGTTCCCTCTTGGAACACCATTTAAACTAGAGTAAAAGTTTTTTGTTTTGTTTTGTTTTGTTTTGTTTTGTTTTGTTTTGTTTTGCAAAAAAACCACAGGTCTGAAAGAATGAAGAAAATATTTTAAGCTGGAAAATAGATGGGTAGATAGCCACTGCCTGCAGAAAGCCAAATCTAAGCCAAGTTGAAAAAACCAACAACCAACCAAATCCGCCAGAAAGTCAGGAATTTATTGCTCATGTAATTCTAGAAGTGGAGGTGAAGGGTGGGGAGGACCAAATAAGGAGGATTGGTTAAAAGCCAGTAAAAAAACCAAGTAGATGGCTTCCCACATCTGCTCCCTGGGCTCGCCCCTCACTCCAGGATGCAGGGGACCCACCCCTCCCCACTCCCCTCTAGAAAGGAGGTTTATTTCCCGGAGAGTGTGAGGCAGAGGATGCGTGACTGTCCATGATGAAGGTTGAGGTTCTAGATTGATCCCTGTAGGTCTCTACCTCCAGGCAGGAATTTGGAAGGGTCTGACGAACCCAAACTGGAAAGACCTAAAGACATTTACACTCGGGGTTCCCAAAAAAAAGAGTTCCGCCACATCCCTCTATATTTAGCAAGCTCTATTCTTGGCTTGGTGTTTTTAGCCTCTTAGCCTTCCTCTCTTAAATAGGAGATTTAGAGACACCTGAGAAGAGCCTTTACGAGGACATAAAACAAGGAACTTAACAGCAGCAGACTAGTCTGAGAAAAGAAAGCTTTAAATCATCATTAATTTTCTCAGATGAGAAAGTATATGGCAGGCATGAAATAAGAGGTGGAAATGACAAAAAGGAAATGTACAGAACAACAACAAAAAAATGGCTCTTGGAAACTGGAAACATGACAGAAGAAATGGAGAATTAATAGAAGAAATGGAAAGCAAAGATGAGGTGTATCAGTTTTCTGGGGCTGCTCTAACCAAGTTCCACAGACTGGGGTGCTTAAAGCAACCGAGATTTATTGTCTCACAGTTCTGGAGGCCAGAAATCCAAAATCAAGGTATCAGCAGAGATTAGTTCTTTGTGAGGACTCTACCAGGAGAATCTGTTCCTTGCCTCTCTCCTCACTTCCGGTGGCTTGTTGGCAGTTCTTGGTGTCCTGCAGCTTGTACAGACATCAATCTCTGTCTTCATTTTCACCCGGCGTTCTCCCTGTGTGCATGTCCACCTCTGTGTCCAAACTGCCCCTGCAATAATGACACCAGTCATACTGGATTAGGACCTACCCTATATGACTTCAGTTTCACTTGATTACCTCTGCGAAGAACTTATTTCCAAATAAGGTCACATTCACAGACACTGGGGGTTAAGACTTCAGCATCTTTTGGTGGACACAATTCAGCCCATAACATGAGGTCATTTCTAAGAAGAACAAAAGCCTAAAAAGAACACAAAACAGAAATCACAAGAAAATCAGAGGAGCTACAATATCTGGGTAACAGAAGTTCCAGAAAGAAAAAGAGAAAATGAAATCATCAGTGAAATAGTTCAAGGGAGTTTCCCAACACTGAATGACTTGAATTTGGGGATTGAAAGCACCCACAGGGCATTCAGCACAGTTGTGAAAATAGACCCACACCAAAGAGCATAGTCATGAAGTGTCATTGTACTGGGGACACAGAAGAACTTCAGAGAGAGAGAGGGAGAGAATACCAAGCAGACTCCCCACTGAGCCCAATGTGGGGCTCAATCCCACGACCCTGAGATCATGACCTGAGCTGAAATCAAGAGTCAGACATTTAAACAACTCAGCCACCCAGGCACCCCTAAGGTTTTATTTTTAAGTAATCTCTGCACCCAATGCTCAAACTCACGCCCCTGAGACCAAGAGTTACATGCTCAACTGGCTGAACCAGCCAGGCACCCCCAGGTAAGCTTCTTTAAACGTCCAGAGAGAAAAAAATATGTCTCACACAAAGGATCGGGAACCAGAGGGCTTTAGGCTTCTCATCAGCGTCACCAGATGTGAGGAAGAAAAATGACTTCCAAGATTGGATTGTAGCAGGTGGGTATGAAGGAAGAGTAAAAACATTGTTGGTCTTGCAAGGTCTCAAAGAATAAAGCTCTCACACACACATCCTTTGTCAGGAAATTACTGGAAGATGAGCTCCACTAAAATGAGGGGGTAAAGCAAGAAAGAGGAAGACTGGGATGACAGGAAACAGGAGATACAGTGGAGAAGAGAAGGAAGGACATGCCAGGATGATGGTCAAGGGCGGTCCCACTGTGAGAGCCTGGATGGAGACAGATCAGGAGACTCTAGGAGAGGTGTCTCCAAGGAGCTACACTAGGACACCTGAAACCAATGAACCTGTTGGCAAAAAATGAGAGGACAGGCCAGTTAGAGTGCCAATTAGCCTTTAGTTTCACCCGACCCTTGGCATTTCCTCCCCTTTTCTGACCAGCAGCTTCCAGGAGGCTATCTCTGTGGATTGCAACTCTGGGCTCCCTCACCCTTGGCTTCCTGTTGGGTTGGCTAATGAGTAACACTGGCAGGAGATGAGAGCGGATGAAGCAAAGGAGGTCAAGTGTCTTTCATGCCCCTCTCTGCCTGCTTGATGCCGCCATCTTGGCAGCGGCTACATTATCTATCCTTCTCTGACCACAAATCCTGCAAGGCTGCCCCTCCTCCACAGCCCCAAATCCACTGGGCTCCAGTAATCCTATCTCCCCTCTTTGCTCTCCATGCCTGGCACCGGTAATGGTTTCCCCCCGTTGCTAAAGTCTGGGGGTGCCTCTCCATCTTTGTCCACACCTCTCTTAATAGACCTTTCATGGATAGCCCTTGGATTGAAAGCCCATGGGTGAGTGACATGCTCTGTCTGACCAGGGCCCTGACTAAGCCTGGGGATGTTTGTTTTTGAGTTGGTGATAAATGCGTAGAGAAATAAGAAAGCAAACAAAAATAATCACTCCAGAAAACAAACCAAAAGAAAGACAAAATAATCATAGTTTTACCATAAAACTCCACCATGCTATAGACTTATATAGTCAAAATAATATAAATACTGATATTGATCTAATCAAATATAATAATACAGAGAGTGGGGCAGGAATCAGGGAGAAGTCTACATTTGTAGACTGAAAATGGGCAGAAGGAAAGAGAGCTAAAACCTCGCCTCCCATAGCAGAAGTCAAGAGGTAACAGGTAAGATGGAAAACACAGGAAGGAGCCCACTGGGCATGATTCTTATGACATACAGAAAGAAGTACCAAAGAAATAGTGATAAGGAGTAAAAAAGTTTCCACTGAAAAAGGGGAAATGGAGGGATGCCTGGGTGGCTCAGTCGGTTAAGCATCTGCCTTCGGCTCAGGTCATGATCCCAGGGTCCTGGGATCGAGCCCCATGTCAGGCTCCCTGCTCAGCGGGGAGCCTGCTTCTCCCTCTCCCTCTGCCTGCTGCTCCCCCTGCTTGTGCTCTTGCTCTCTCTCTCTCTGTCAAATGAATAAATAAAATCTTTAAAAAAAAAAAATCTTTTAAAAAGAGACAGACAGACAGAAGAGAAGAAGATGCAGACCCAGGAGAGGGCCAAAGTGCAGATGGAGGCAGATGCGGCCCCATGCCCCAGAACACCTGCAGCCGCCAGAAGCCGAAGCCGGCAAGGAAGGAGCCCTTCCTAGAGCCCCCGGAGAGAGTGTGGCCCTGCCACCACCTTGATTTCAGATGCCAAGGCCCTGGAACTGTGACAGAAAACATTTCTGGAGTTCTGTAGGACAGCCACAAAGGGCAGGCTCCCTTCTCGCTTCAGCCCATAAAGGACATGCTTTGGAGAATCACAGACTTGTCTGCTGGAAGGGACCCCCTAGGGCCAGGTCACCTGCCATTGGCTGAATCCAGGCCCCCCGACTGCCCCAGACTGCTGTTTGCACTTGCACGGCCACTCTGCTCTTCTTCCCTTAGTATCTGTCTTCATGGGCCCCAACTCACGCCCTTCGCCAGTGTATTTCCAGAGAGAGCTTCACCTGTGGGGAGGGGGGAGCCTGCACCACCTGCAGTTTGATACATCCACCCTCGGTTCATGTGTGCAGGGCACAAAACCCTTGTGAAGCTCCCACTCCATGCTGGACGCCACTTGAGGCTCGGGAAGCGCCGCAGGGATGATGCAGACGGGGCTCCCTATCCGCGTGGGCCCGGCATCCTCCTGCAAACTGCCCAGAGAAATACAAAGCTGTTAAAACTCATGATGTGTACTGGCGTGTCCCCTCAGACTGTCTGTGACCCCCACGTGGGGAAGTGCTGACATGACGTCACCCTTTCTGGAGCCTGGGGAGCAGGCTGGGGGCAGAGACCAGTGCCATCGCCTGGCTCCAGGCCCCGAGAGCCTCCGTCTGCCCCCCCATCCACCGAAGCAGAAGGCGCCAATTCCCGGGGCCCTGTGAGAGAGAGGGCCCCCCCCCCAGTTGGGGGTACATGGTGGTGCGGGGGCTGGCACAGTGCAATTTCCCAGGTGCTGAGCCCACTGGGCCAGAAGCTGGCTGGGAGGGCAGGCGAGAGGGAGAAGCTCTGGGAGACAAGGTACAGCCTGCCAGAGCTCAGAGACTGTGCCAACCCCATCCTCCCACGGGCGACAGGAAGGGGTGTCGTGTGACTTGTGGGATCTGTGGGCAAACAAACCGTGAAGCTGGATACTCGCCCAGGGAGGACAGGAAGCCTGCTTCTGAATCCTTCAGTTGTAATAAACATCATGCATTGAGTATCTACAATTTGTCAAACCCAGACGACCTGTTTTACATGATTTACCAGCACAACAATCACCAGTTTTACAGATGAGGAGAGAGAAGCACCCCAGGTGGACACGGCTAAGTGACAAGGCCAGGATTTGAACCCAGGGCTCGTCTTAGCCACCTCACTCTACCACCTTTAGCTCTATTTCTGAATTAGTAAGGTGTTTTTGATTGCAAGGGACAATCATCCAATTCAAACTTAAGCCCACCTCTATCCCCAAAAGGAATTTATTATAGAGTTTAGGGCTTTTAGGCACAGCTGGATCTAGATGCTCAAACAATGTCCTCACATTTCTGTCTTACCCTTAGCTTTGTTTTCCTCAGGATCAGCTTCACTTTAAGGTACCAGAGGTACAAAGGTGGCTACCTGAAGCTTCAGGTTTCTACTCTGTTTTACAGGCTCACTGGAAGGTAGACCTTCTATTCTAATAGTTCTAGCACAAGTCCTGGGTATTATTTTCATTGGCCCAGCTTGGATCACATGAGCAGCCCAGACCCAGTCATTTGGTCAAGAGGTTGCAGCATTCCCATTGGCCAGAAATGGATCAGATGTCCACCCCTGAAGTGAGTAGGTGAGGACAGCAACCTCTGCCCCCCAAATCACAGAGAATGAAAATGAGGGGATGGGATTCACCCAAGGGAAATCAGGACTCATGTACCAGCAGAATAGGTTCTTGGCAAGCAGAACCCATTGACCTCTACTACCGCCTGTTTCTCCCTTCAGTCTTTGGTAAAGTTCCTTTGGAAAATCTCCAACTTCATCCTCATGAAAAGAGGAGACAAAGCCTTCTCCCGCCACAGCAAGGCAAGATGGCCTTGGGGTGAGCTGCCTTTGTGTGGTAGATTGGACTGTAGAGGAAGCGGATTGTACCTCTCCCTGAACTCATGGTATGCTGGGCCATTTGACTGCCTTTGGCCAACAGGGAATGAGTGCGCGTGTGGGAACACAAGCTTCAGATGTGTTTGCTTCATTTAGTTTGGTCTTCTGTGCTTCTGCCATTTACCATAAGACATCCTCAGGATAACTACAGAATGCAGAGCAAAGAAATACATGGAACACACCTGATCATAGACCCCCAACCTAAAGCAGAGCTACCCCAGATGACCCACAGACCCAAGAGCAAGACATATAAATGGTTGTTTTTGTTAAGTTCCTAAGATTGGGGGCGAGTTGCTGGGTATGCAGCATTAGAACAGCAAAATCTGGACGTTTTATGTTGAGGGAGACCACCATTCTTTGAAGTCAGCGGTCTTTCAGGAAGTTAGTACTCTGAGCTGGGGCAGTGCGTATTCTGCCAACCTCCCCTAGAAACCCAGAAAGCCACCCTACTTCAACACGGCAGCCATATTTCAACTCCTACCTGAGAAAGTCTCCACAGGCCAAAAGGAGCTTCAGCATCTTTTCTGGAGTCCTGCAATTTGCCCTACCCTCCATCTGGGGTCTCTCGGGATCTTTACCAGT